CGCCCATTAGGTTGTGGTGTTCAGACGAACTTCACCAACGGTACTCTACATCGTCTTAGAGTCGACAAAAATTTCAAAAGGTAAACGTCCATATCCTAACTATAGATTCCGCTGCGTTAGGACTTATTTCGATAAAAGTTCAATACTGTGCATGTTGTTTGACGTTCCTAACAGAATCGAACACGCATGTGCATCGACTTCCGCGACTTGAACCTGACGTGCCCAAAAGATCACTATCCTTTACAGAGAATCGACCAGCTAGTCGACTCTACTACTGGCTGCGAGTTGCTGAGTATGATGGATGTATCCCAAGGATATCATCAAATTCCCTTGGCCCCTGAGGACCAAAGTAAGGTGAGCTTCGTGACAAGCAAAGGGACATACTGTTATGTCGTCATGCCCTTTGGACTCAAGAATGCAGGGACGACCTATCAGAGATTGATGGATCGTATGTTCAAACCCCAGATTGGGCGAAACATGGAAGTATACGTTGAAGACATCTTGGTAAAGAGCAAATCTTCGACTTCACACCCAGACGATTTAAGGGAAACATTCAAAACCCTTAGAGCTTTTGGGATGAAGTTGAACCCAAGCAAATGCGCCTTTGGAATGAAGGCGGGGCGATTTCTGGGATACGTCATCACAGAACGAGGAATTGAGGTAAATAAGGACAAGGTAAAAGCCATAGTCGATATGGCCCCACCGCAAAAATATAAGAGAAGTACAAGCCTGAGGAGAAGGATTGCGGGTCTGAGTAAGTTCATTGCCCGAGCGGCCGAGAAGAGTTTTCCTATTTTCAAATTGCTCAAAAAGAAGACGACTTTCTTGTGGAGTGACGAGGCGCAAATGACATTTGAAAAGTTAAAAGAATTCTTGAGCGAGCTATCCTTATTGACCAAACCCGAGTCGGGTGATGAGTTGGTGTTGTACATCTCGGTGGGAGTGGTTTCTTTGAGTTCAGTGTTGCTGCGAGAAGAAAGAGGCTCCCAACAGCCGATTTATTACACCAGTCTGGTACTCCAAGGTGCGGAGATGAGGTACTCTGAAGTCGAGAAGGCTGCATTGACGTTGGTGATAACGACCAGAAAGTTGAGGTCGTATTTCTTAAATCATACCATAGTGGTGAAGACAAACTTCCAACTTGGGGAAACGCTGGGTCGACCTACTGGTTTAGGTCTACTTGTGAAGTGGGCCGTCGAGTTGAGCGAATATTCCATCAGATATGAGCCAAGACAGGCCATAAAAGCTCAAACTCTAGCAGATTTCATCCAATAATGTACTAAGGGTGAATCTATATAGGATAAGAAGAAATTCGGATGCTAATTAAGAGGTGCATGGAATACAAAACGGCCAGGGCATTTCAGACATTTCGGGTAAGTCGGCCAGGGCGTTTTGGGCACTTCAAGTAAGTGTTTTACTCCTATATAAAGGGACTGAGTCAATCCCAAATCCTAACTTTCACTCTCCATTCATTTTCTCTCAGCTGCTGCTCCTACTGAGCAGAGCTCTCTTCACCTCTCATACTGACTTGAGCATCGGAGGCTCTTCGCCGGAAACACTTCCGGTGTTGAGTTCTTGCAGGTGTTTGCAGAGACTTGGAGACGATTCAAAGGCGGTTCAAGCAGATCGGAGCTCATTACCACTGGTTCACTCCAGATCTAGGAGGAGACCCATCAGAATTGAAATAATGTCTTTATTTATTAAAAAGATGATAAAAATGATGTTATTATCGCGGCATTTTTTGAAAATATTTCATGAAGTGTCATTAATGTGACAAATAATTTTTTTTTGGTCAAATATCACTAATATTTTTTTAAGTGAAATTTATTTAATTTGAAAATTTTATAAAAAGCAGTCACAATCAATTATATGTTATTGTTTCTAGAGTCACGAACCTGTTGTTTGATGATTTATGATACGACGATAAGGGTTATGATGAATATACTTTATCCACTACTAATACTATATTTAGGAAAATAAATTAAAATATAATAACTAATACTTTCATCTACGTCGTTTTTAAGATCAAGTCGCGTAACATGCGGGTGGCATACTAGTCTTGATGTAAGCCGTTGGGAATACGGTGTGCCCGCGTTTGTGTTTTGAGCTGAAGTTGTTTCATAAGTAGGGCTACAAACGAGTCGAGCCGAGCTGAGTCGAGCATTGACCTTATTGAGCATGATTGATTTTTTTTTTTTTTTTTTT